GTGTGTGTGTGTGTGTGTGTGTGTGTGTGTGTGTGTGTGTGTATTCCAGCATAACTCTGGAAAGCCTGGCCCATTAAGGAGAGCGAGTCGTACAGCTGCCATTGTTCGCCCTCCAGTGGACCGATGGGGAAGTGCCTGATGGATTTGGAGCAAAGTGCCAGGATCGTAGAAAGGCCGGGAAAGAGGAGCATGGGGGGGTTGGGAGAGGGCAGGGGTGATGGGGCAGGGGGATGAAAGGCCCCTATTATTATTTCTGACAAGGAAGTCCTCCTTCCTACTTTCCCCACCACGACAATCCTGTGAAATGTGTTAGGCTGCGAGAGAGGCCAAAATCACCCAACAGCTTTCATGCTTAAGATAGGACTAGAACTCACAATCTCCTAGTGATCGGCCCAAAGTCACCCAGCCGGCTTTCATGCCTAAGGCGGCGGACTAGAATTTACTATATACCAGGTGCTTGTCTCAAAATCACCCAACTGGCTTTCGTGCCTGTCCCGGGACTAGAACTCACTGTCTCTCACTGATTGGCCCAAAGTCCCCCAGTCAGCTTTCCTGCCTGAGGTGAAACTGGAACTCACCATCCTCCCAGTGATCGTCCCAAAGTCACTCAGCTGGCTTTCCTGCTTAAGGCAGGACTAGAACTCACAGTCTCCTGGTGATTGGCCCAGAGTTCACCCAGCTGGCTTTCATGCCTGTCCTGGGACTAGAACTCACCGTCTCCCGGTGATTGGTCCCAAGTCACCCAACCGGCTTTCATGCCTGTGCCAGGGCTAGAACTCCCAGTCCCCCACTTTCCAGTCTGATGCCTTGACTCCTAGACCGAACTGGGTCTCAGCAGGGGAGGGTTTGCGAAACGCATTTGGCCTCTTGCTGAAGTCACTGTCCGCTCATCCTAGACAGGTGATTGGCACTAGTGACAGCCTCCTCCTCCTCCTCCTCCTCTTTTTCTTCCCCCCCCCCCCAGAGAGAAGCTCAGGTGAAGTTTCACGTCCTCCTGACATCCTACGAGCTGGTCACCATCGACCAGGCCGCCTTGGCCTCCATCCGGTGGGCCTGCCTCGTGGTGGATGAAGCTCACCGGCTCAAGAACAACCAGTCCAAGGTGAGAATGACGGCAGCAGCCCAGTTTGTGGCGGGCCAAAGGGGGGGGGGTGGAATGAGGGAGGAAGAGGAGGGGAAAAGGCGGCTACGGGCCCTCGATCACCCTCCGCGCTCGATTTCAGTTCTTCAGGGTGCTCAACGGTTACAAGATCGACCACAAGCTGCTCCTGACGGGGACGCCTCTGCAGAACAACCTGGAGGAGCTCTTCCACCTGCTGAACTTCCTCACGCCGGAGAGATTCAAGTACGCTCCGTTTGCTTTCGAACTTTCCTGACCGAACAATTAACCAGTGGAACCGCCTGCCTTCAGAAGTTGTGAACGCTGGAGGTTTTTAAGAAGAGATTGGACAACGGTTTGTCTGAGATGGTCTAGGGGGCTGTGATGGCGAAACTATGGCACGCGTGCCACGGGGGGGCACACGGAGCCATTTCTGAGGGCACGCGAGGCATTGCCCTGTCAGCTCCAGCAGGCATGTGTTGCGCTGGCCAGCTGATTTTCGGCCTTGATTTTCAGCCATTTTTCACCCTCTTGAGGCTTCAGTCCAATGGGCAACCCGGAATTCCCTTCCCGAACTTCCGGTTTGCATGTTGAGCCGTTTTCCGCCCTCCCCAGGCTCCTAGAAAGCCTCCGGAGCCTGGGGAGGGCGGAAAACGGCTCAACATGCAAACCGGAAGTTCGGGAAGGGAATTCCGGGTTG